GTGCTGTTATATGCACCTTTGGCCACCCCTTCGGGGGTAAAAGACGTGATTTTATTAACAATATTAATAAGGACATGTTGTATTTTGCGTATTTTTACTTTTACGAAAAGATGGTACTTTCGAAACTTTTTCTAAATTGAATATACATTAAACGCAACCAAATCTTGAATCTCTTGGTGGTATTTGCGGACGGCAACGGGAAGAATTATTTGCTTTAATTGGCAAAAGTCCAGCACAATCCTTTGTTTTACCAAAATCTTGTAGGATATCTAAGATGTAAGTTTAAAATGTAAACGTTATTGCTGTACTTTGTATTTATTTTAAATCAGATGTAAAACTTTTAAAAGAATCCCCCTTTTTAGTAAACATAAAAGTACCATTTTTGAGTAAGCAAATTTTATTATTAAGTTCACCTTTTTCCAAATATTTTTCTATTAAGCATTTTAGATAGCCTATTATATACCCTAGCCCAAAGTACTTAAGGATATAATCCTGTGTATGTATTAATGTAAAATTTAGAATTGTAATCGCAACAATAAAACAGCCTAGACGCTGCATTAGACACGTAGTTTAAAAACAAAACATTAGCTCTATGAACATCATAAAGAGACAAGGTAAATACTCAACATCATTATCTAGTCGGCCATGACAAAAAGTATGTAAAACAAACTGAAATTACACACACATACATGACATAAATATTGCTATTGATACTAACATAATAAAGATGAATGACATGGTTGTTTGTTTGTATGGAGTAAAGCTCCATAACAGCTGGATGAAATAAGAACATAGCTTTACTACATGACGACAAGTTAATCCCAATTTTTTTTTTCGTACTTTTTGCTTAACACCAGGACTTTTGCCTGTGTCGTGGGTGCGTTTACAATTATAAAATTTCACATACACATGACGCCGAGACCCGAAACAACAGTTTGTGGGTCACACACATAGTTACTACGCTCGGGAATCGAACAGCTATTGCGATGCAGCCGGTTACTAGCCACCGCGACAACAGAATATGTATATTATTAGAGGGAAATCTTTCAAATGTACCCAAGTGTGGGAGAGCCCTGCTTTGGCACAAATCGGCTGGCACGACCGGAATACCACAGCCTCAGAAAACTCTCCCCAATCCCCGAATCCTCCAAAATCCTTAAATTCCCAATTCCCAAAAGGCCGGTAACGCACTTGTAACGCCTTGGTGTTTCAGATGTCCATGGGCAGCGTCGATTGTTTACCATCAGGTGATCCGTCTGCTCGTTTATCGGCTTATGCCATAAAAAAAGTGAAGACGCAGTCAGAAGTTAGTGTTACATACATAGATATAATGTTTAATGTTCTTACGTGAGTTGAGTTGAAATGTTTCATTAAACTGTGTAACTTCTTGATACCATTTAAACTATACATTTATACATAATGTACATACACACTTAATATTTGTTTTAAACAAATAGGTAAGTTCTATTTTTATATTCTGCGTCTTATTTTTTAGGCAGGAAGACTTCTATAAGATTGTAAAATTAGTAGCAATTAGTAAAAATTTACTTTGTTATTTATGTGACACATTTCAAATTTTAACACGTTTATCATCCCTAGAAATTAGATAATTTTAGAGGAGGCTTGTAGTCCAGAATTATACTATTATGGACTGTTAATAGAAAGTATAGATATAATATAAAGAATATAAATAATTATTATTTATATCTACCGAAGAACCTATTTACTTTAGTACAAAAACTACCAAATTCAAAGCAGATACTAATTAATTAAATTATTCAACTTTGTTAACTCCAAATAAGTTCCCAGACAAAAATTAGTCGACCTAAATTGTATTAACATTCTAAGTATAATAAGACTTATTCACAAGTTAGTATCAAGGTTCTTGCAAAATGTAATCTAATTTGTTTATCTACGTGTCTGTGTTACCGTAGACGTCAAAATGTAGTTCAATAGATCAAAACTTTGAACTTCTCTTTAGCAGACCGTAAACTGTCTAACTTGCATATCTATTGTTCATACAGCTTATTGACGTGGGTACCTTTGTATCTTTCTATACATCGTATATGAGAGTCCAAACCATATCTATAATACTTCCCGAAACAAAATATTTTGTAAGATAAGTTACACCTATCAGCTCAGTTTTGTCTACGTTTGCCACATATCTTTACACCGCCATATAGCGGCACCAAAAGAAGCCAGGAGCTTCTTTTCACTCTGAAAAATATATATTTTTTTGTACTTGATATGCCGACGTTTGACCTCTATCTCGCCTAGTGGTAAGCGATGCAGCACGTCGTCCCATAAGCAACCTATTCACTCGGGCCTTGGAGACACCCAAGTTATACCCTTTAGGAAATACAGACTCTGGCAAACAATTCCACTCCTCAGCAGTACCTACGTATGTGAAGTACAACGAAGCCCCTGTACTTGTCTGAACTACATTCCATTACCTTCCTATGCATCGAAACATAATTATAGTTGAAGGGCCCAGTAGGTAGGCAAATCGTTAGAATATAATAATTTTAATGATCATTGGATAACTTCATCATTGACCTTATAGTCGCTACTATGTGTTATTTAATGATCATGATTATAACCTACAGTAGCTCTGGAACCTAATTACTTGTCATAAGTTGTACAGTTACACTGAGTGTAAACGAAACGCTCCCCCGCCAACGATGACAAAAAGAAGTCTTTCACAATTATAGCTTTTGATGCCTAATTTTTATTTTATTGTCCGTCTGGTAGATTATTTTAAATCATTAGACATGTATTTTTTTTTTTACAGGAACGAATACTTTCGACGATATATTAATTTAAAATGTCGCGTGACGTCACTCCTATGTACATTTTATACGTAGAAATGACGTTTTAGCCCCCACTTCTAAACTTTGATTCGTTTTATCTAAGTAGGTATTATCTTATTATACAAGTAAATAAATAAATACGTGTCTAATATTTTTTCATTGCCTAACATACGGACTAAATAGATTTTTAATTTTCATACCCTGTCATCATCCCTATTTTAATCGTTTTTGTTTTCGTTTTATTCATACAATATCAGCCTTGAATAGTTGATTATAACTATTATTACATAAAAGAAATATAAAATTCCTTACTTTTATGAAATTAAACCTAGTTTTTTACTATACCGCTGAATACCACAAGTCGGTGTTTGTCAGGAGCGTTTCGTTTACATCCTGTATAATTGTATATACTTTATATAAATATCTGAAAAGTTTATTAATTAGCTTGTCTATCAGTCCAACAGGCACAACAAAATATACCCACGCTAAATTCCATGTTACTGGTAATTTGATCCCACTCAACCAAGAGAATGGAATTTTGTTTTTTTTTTCATGTCAAGTAGGTAAAAATTAAAAAAAAATTAAGCTCAGTTTCTCCATTTAAGCACTTAATAAAATATTTACGCACTATAGAAAAATCTATAAATTGAATTTTTGAAATTAGGTATAATAAACGTAATGCGTTGTATAGATTATATAAAAATAAACTGTGCAAAAATCTGCGCGACTTACGTTTGTCTACTTATTTTTAAACTGACTGTACTAGGTACAATGTCCTCATAAAGTGTTAATAAAATTATATAATAAACGCACAAGGAGTTACTACCTATAGGAGTTATTATTAAATAGACTTACAATATTATCAAAATACCTACTGTTACGTATGAAAATATTTTAGGAACTGACATCTAATATTAAGCGTAATGAAAATTATAATTAGTGTCGCACGTAGTCTGTAAACGCGACGAAAATGTCTATTATTTTGTGTTTACTAAGATGATTAGTAAACGGAGATAACAATTTTATACTGTCCAAAAATTTATACAGTCGCGGTGGCTCGGAGGTTTAAGACGCTTACCTCTCATGAATGAGGGTATGTGTTCGAAACCTTTTTTTTTTTTTTTGATGACGGGGGGAAACCTTCAAAAGGCGCCCAGCCTTTTTGGGGATAAAAGACTAGGGAGTGTGGGATTTTTACCTCACTAAAACCACCCCGGTGGCCACCCTCAACACCTGAATGGAGGCACCGGGTCCTCTAAAAGAGACCTGCTCCGGCGCCTCCACTGTGCAACGCCTGTTACGACACATCCCTAGGGATGTGTTCGAAACCTACCAACGGCAAGTACCAATGTGACTTTTTCCGAGTTATATGTACTTTTTAAGATTATCTAGACACCACTGACAAACGGTGAAGGAAAACATTATGAGGATAACCTGGGCTTATAATTTCTAATTATAAGTTTGTAATCGCCAACCCGCATTGAGCAAGGGTGGTGATTAATGCTCAAACCTTCTCCGTGGGAGAAGAGGCTTTGCTCAACAGTGGGCGTGTAGGCTGTTGATGGTGATGATAGTCCAAAAAATATAACATTAAAGTCGTCAAATATGTGCGTGGTCGCTATCAAATTACTTGCATTGTTGAAACACGAATTTGTTCAACTCTGAAGTGTATTAGTTTTATAATTATTTACTTCACATTTCCGTCACGCATCACTAACTAATTTGTCCATTTTTTATTATATTTCTATTAAAATTATTAGTACCTATACTCATTAGGTTCCTAAAATGTTACGCTTACAACGGTAATATTAAAATTAGAATACTAATTTGTAACAGTAAATAAACCATAAAATAGGTTATGTATTTTATTGAGATCTATTTATTTAATACATTATTTTTATCGGTTTTATTTTGTGTATGTAGTTTTAAGTACTTATAGGCTTGAATTTTGGTAACTTTGTTTTTTTTGTTCATGCCATGTTACACACAGTGTCTTAGTTTTTATTGTTTTTCCTGTCGAAGGACTGCAGGAAGAGATTCCTACGGGAATATGTAGCACCTATGTACCTCCAATTTATTTATATACCTATGTATTCTCCTGTGTACTGTCTGTGTATTGAGCATAAATAAATAAATAATTAAAATAAAATAAAATATTAAATAAATAAATGAATTTATAAAAACACTTACCCGCCGCAAATATAACTATGGCTTGCGTTAATAAAATAAACGTATTTAAAATGGCACTCATTCTGCACTACTACTTAAGGTTAATCTTAAAATAGTCCGCACAAAAGCTCGGTCACGATACAAATCGCTGGGTAATCACAACTCTTGTTATATATAAACTTCGCGATCTGATCTCAAGGACAAATATTATACAGTATCATCATTGTGTGTTTGTAAATTAATTATTAAATGATTCTGTTGATTAATGATACAATCTTGTTGGGGAAGTCGTAATATCGATTGCTGAATATACATAATTATGTATATTGAGTTGTTAATACTGTTAACTGGGTTGGGAAAAGTATAGTAAGATTCTCGATAATTTTCTATGATTGTACTAACTTTAAGTAATTTAATTAAATATCATAATGTCTATTTTAGGTATATAACTTACGCTGTTTTATTATAGGGGGGAAATCATTCAATGTCTGTTCCCGCCCGAGTGAGGCGAGAGCACAGAAAAATATATATGTGGGCGAGAGGGAGTGTCAGACTCTTAATGACTAAAAACCACCCTGTCCTCTTGCACCTCGAGCCGGACCCCCGTTAAGTTCTCCTCGGTTTAATTTACGCTGGTACAGGCTTTAGTAAAATGGTTTTATCTTAACTGGTCGAGTACCGGTTTTGTAGACACAATTATAGAACAATAGGTTGCGGTCACCGGTGACCGCTTGGTGTTTGACAGTTTAATGAGACTATACAAAAGAAAGCTAGTTAAAAGTGAGCACAAGATAATAATAAAAGATTATATATATCAGAATAGGATACAGAATAAATAGAAATAGTTAGTAAAATGAGCGTCTCTCGCCATAAAACGTCAAAGTTTGGCGAGTTTAGATTTAAGGCAATACCTATGTAAAATTTAAATGAATAAATTTGTTAAAAATAATTAGGAGGCTGGCGTTAGGTGGATGGATCAAGGGCCTGATACAGAAGGCAGTTCTCCTAGAAACGGCACGTATCGTGAGGAGGTTTCTATCTCTGGAGCCCTAGCCACCGGTAGCTTGGACCATGCTCCCGCTACTGGTCGGCTCCTATTTTTTATATTTTTAAATATTATTTTTTTATTTTGTAATTAGTATTTTAAAATGTTATTTATAGAGAATTTTAACTCGTCGAGTACCGTCATTATAGACACAATTATAGAACAATAGGTTGGTGTTTGACAGTTTAAATAAATATATGGAATAATAATAATAATAATAAGTCCATTATGGTTTTGCTTAGCCCTGAATCCTCTAAGCACTTTGTTGGAGGGCTCGGGGTTAGGATATAGGTTGAGAAGAGGGGGACAAATTATATCCCACCTACTTTACATGGATGACTTAAAGCTATTTGCCCCAAACAACTTGCATCTAATGAGGTTACTGAATGTCACTGAAACGTTCAGTAATGCCATTAGGATGGAATTTGGTGTGGACAAATGTGCAGTTCTGCATGTAAAGAGGGGGGAAATTGTGGAATCAGATGGGACACAGAACTCTGATTCTACAAGCTTCAGACCCCTTTCCTCAACCGAAACCTATAAGTACCTGGGTATGTCAGAAGCGTTAGGCAT